TGCTGGTGAGTATCATATCACACTGGCCTGGCATGGCCAGGTGGTTAAGGCACTTGACAATCTGCGGGTCGCGGGTTCGAATCCCCGTCCCACCAAACATGCTCGCCCTTTCAGCCGTGGGGGCGTTATAATGTCACGGTCAATCCCACTATTCGTTGGTAAAAGTGTTAAAAATGCTGGTGAGTATCATATCACAATAAATCCATCCAAAAACAAACTCAAGAATTAGAAAAAAGAAAAGAGAGACCTAATAGTTTTATATCTCTTTCAGCCTACACTACAAATCATAATAACTACAATTTTCAAAAAAGTATACCTTATTTCCAAACAAAATGTATAACTTCCACTACTCTTGTTGCAATTATCACTTGAATACTGTAGGATACAGATTTATTGCATTGATTTATATATATATATACAGTTCATAGATACCTATAGTACATATACAGTCCTTAGATTCAAGCATTATACGTATACAGTCCACATATTAATAGAGTAAGTCTTTAGGTTCGTATATGCACATACATATATCCGTATAGCCCCTATATTCATAAAGTTTTTCTCTAAAATTTATGTATCAACCTTAAAGATTTGGAATGGTAGTTTTCTTGAAATGCTGTAGTTTATTGGAAATAAAAATTTATAAAACATGGAAGGTTAGTCAAATGAACCAAGTAATATGAATAAACATGTTTATACCAGTATTCACACACTTATATATACAAGTCTTCATATAATATAACCAAAAAATATATAAAATGATAAATCCTGATGTACAACTAAACAAAACTGGGACAATAAAGTACATGGCAAATTCATTTTCATTTCAAAATCATACAATTTTTCTTACATCTAAGATAGTCAAAAATGTTTATATTTTTAGAATTTAGAATTAATTTCAAAACAGGTACTTACCTCTAAAAGACTGATTAACTTTCCTTGTTGAGTTTGAACTCATGCTGTCAACAACCACATGACTCAAAGTTCTGAATGTCCTTGTCGCAATGCATGGAAAAAAAATTGGAACAGCCAAAAGTGGATGAGGATGAAACTGGATAAACAATAAGTTGAAGAATCTGATAAACCCAAGGGTTCCATAAGTGAACAAAAATATCCTAAACACCTTTAAATGAGTGAAAAGAGGGGCCACTCAAAAATAAAGCCATTGTATGGTTTGAGAAGGCCCACTACACTTGTTTCTATGTTCTACAAACTGAAAGGAGCAAAAGTAATAAAAATAACAAGAAGCAGAAGTAGATGGATGAGAATTAGTAGAAAAATAAGTTGGTAATGCAGGAGCACAGCTAGTACTAAACAGACATCTAAGAATAGGACAATGGCAAAAGTAATGCATGAAGCCAAAACCCTAATCAGAGCCTGCTGATGAATTTCTAGTGATTGAGAAAACCTTTCACAAGAAAAACCAGCAAAAATAAAAAGGTGCAAGAAAGGGGTCCTTTGAATATCAGCATAAAAAGGAGGAAGGAAGCAAATCCTCTAAAAATAGCTCACCAAGTTAAAAGATCAAAAAGAACAATCAAGCCATCTATCTGGTAACCAAGACCAAGTCAGTAATAGCTGTAGAAGGAGAAACATGTCAAGTAATCATTTGCTCCTGAGAAAATGAATCAGGAGATTTACAATAGCTCACAGGTAAATCACTGTGCTGATTCTTAAAATTTGCATAATAATATAGCATATTAGGTAGGTACCAGAAGATTGGAAAATGGCTAATGTTACTCCTCTTTTGAAAGGACTTGATAAAACATTATCCCAGCAATTATATAAATGATAAAAACAGAACATGGTTTCCTGGAGAAGTCTGCAGGAATAAAGCTTTAAAAGCAGCAAATGGATTTTGATCACTGATAGAAGCATTAGATAAGGCATTAACTGCAGTATTAAACTCAGAATTGACATGAACTGCAGGATCCATAGAGATAAAAATAGCACATGTGAACAGCATTACCGTCAACAAAATAATCTGAATTATGGTGGGAAAGTAGAACTTATGCAAGATCTCCCAGTGCATGTGCAATAAATCATGTGTAAGGCAAGAGAGTGGAAAATTATCGGTAAGTTACACATTCTCAGCATTGTGTCAAGGATCACATGGTTGTTGACAGCATGAGAGTAAACTCAAAGAGGAAAGGCTTTCAGTATTTAAGAGGTAAACCTACATGGCTTAAATTACTTATTTAAACAAATATGAAGAAAGATCATTCTTATGAAATACATAAGATGATGACAAGTGTCTATTTTGATCTCTCTTTTTCTTAACTGATGATGCAATACATCAATATAACTATATATTTTACTACAAAGATTTCATAAATAAAAAGTAACAATTAGTTATTGAGATATGTATTTCATGCACTTCCCATTACTGAAAATAAAAATGAGAAAGTCCTTTATGGGAAAATAACCTTTTTTCACAATTTTCACAAACAATTTTAAATGATTAATATTAGTTAGAATTGTTAGAGCAACAATTTCATCAATGGAATTTTGGTACATCTATGACTTCAAAAAGATTATATAATGATACAAAAGTGTAGTTTTATTAAAGAATACGTAAATGTTCACACTTCTCAAGAGAGTATACAATCAGTGTACAATGGATGGACCATCTAGTTTTATTATTGTACTTTTTTTCTTCAAAAATCATACACAATTTGATTATTATTTTATCTTGTATGTTTGACAAAAGTAATAATTTTATCTCTTACCACTTCTCTCTCTTTCTATCTCCTAACTGTTGAGTTGCAAGAACCTTGGTACAGGCTGAAATCTTATATTCTTTCCAGATGATATATCAAATAAAAATAAAGCATTTTTCTTATTAAAACAATTACAACCACATAGCTTTGAAAAATTTCAATCATAACTTCTGGTGGTTAGAGAAATACAGGAGATGCTACAAATTAGAGCTGGGTGAGTAATGGAATTTGATAAGTCATCAGGCCCATTAATCGATTACTTTCAACTAACAGATTCTTCTTGCACGAGACTTTAATAGTTGGAACAATAAAAAAATACCAACTTTAATTATCTGATTATTTTCATAACAGAAATTGTAATTTTGATTAATTGATTATCTTATGTCACAGTGATTGATGCTTATAGATAACTGAATAATCACCCAGCTATAAAATCAATAATTATTTTTCAATTTTAAAAGCTGAAAACCTTTCATGATATTGGTTATTATATATAATAATAATAACACTAAAATGCTAATTACTTGTTAATATTATCAGGTTTTCTTTCAAGTGATTAAAGCATTCAATTTCCACAGCTTTATAAATGTATATCAATAAACAAATTTCATACTAAGTTTTAACTTCTTAATTTAAAAAAAAAAAAAGTACCAAAAAAACATCAATCATTATTTTTAATGTTGTGACCATGCGTAAGCTCCTAGTTCTTTACTTCCTAATTTACTAGCTTCTAGCCACTGCAATTTTTCACCAATATGAAACACAAGCTACACATTACTACAAGCAAGAACCTAAAATTTGAGCCTGGTGAGTGTAAAACACGTAAATAAAAAGAAACCTATCATTCTATAGGTATTTGAAGAACTTGTAGCAATCCGCCGCAATTTAATTCTTCGTATTGTTATCTGATACTGGGCGGCTTGTACATAATTGAATAATTAGAGTTTTTTAAACATTTGTTTAACAACAAGTTAAAGCTTGGAATGGTCTATTCTTTGATTGGGGTGTGTGTCTATGAGCCAGACTAGTTTAGGATAATTCCACTCCTCATCAGTGACCCTGGACACTACCACCAATGAAATATCAAACCAAACCAGCCCCCAGTACAACGCTAGAATCCGGGTTTCGATACCCGTGGTGGGCAGAGCACAGATAGCCCAATGTGTAGCTTTGTGCTTAACTTCAAACAAACAAACAAACCAAACCAAGCCTTCATACTAGTGAGGTATCGAAAATCAAACTGGTGTATTTACGTGTTTTACACTCACCAAAAAGAAACCTATCATTCTATAGGATTTTTCTTTTTTGTGAATGTAAAACACTTAAATACACCAGTTCGATACCTTAGTGAACCTTCCAGTTTTATTATAAGATAATGTTTAATTCATAATCATGTATTACTATCCTCAACTGAATTACGTATGAATATTTAAAATAAGTTTGTATATTTAGAACTTAAAAACACACCAAGGAAATTCCTTCGTTCTAAGATTAATATATAATTATCTTATAATAAAACATTCTGAACTATTATTTAACTATTAAATGCTATGTTATCGTTCGAATTTTGCCTTTTGTTGTTAAAATATTAATATGTTGTTTTTTTTTCCTTCATCAGTGTGTGTGTGAAGGCGATATTACTGGTGATAGTTGTGAAAAAATGCCTGGGAAATGTTGGTTATCATACTGCTTTATCAAAGACTGCGACAGAGGAGGCGCACTTCAGTGCTACTGTCACCCACGGTTGTATGGCATGAGTGTTTCAAGTACGATAACTCCATATTGCTAAGTTTCCATTAAGATTTATTTAGCTTTATCATATCGGTTATTATTGTTAACATGGAAAAAATAGCATTTTTATAGCGAAACTAAAGAAGTTAAAGAATCACATATTTTTGGTTTTCAAAGTCGTTCATTCTCAAACACCTGACCGTTACCTTTATAATGGACAGTGACCCCAAGAGGACACACAAAATTGCAGTATTTCAAAATGTATCCGATATATTAATGCCGCAACTAAGCAATATTCACTTCAGCCTTGAAAACAAAAGGCTTTGAAAAAATCTTAAATTTTGCAATT